ATTATTTGTAAAAATTTTTATTGAACATTTTTTAATAATAATTAATTATTCAATTTAATCTATTTGTTATTTTTTTAGAAATAAATCTTAAAGACAATGTATAATATTTTCATTTTATTGTTATTAAATGTCTCATTTTTACTAAAAATAATATTTTTAAGATAAATTGATCCTTATATTCCGGCAGAATTTACTCGAGAAAGTAAATATTATTTATTTGTTGAAAATATTTCTTTTTAATATACTGTTTATGATCTTTTTTTAATGAAACAAGACCAGCGACAATTGTTTATTCAGACAAATGGAAAGGAATATTAATACCTTTTTGTTTTTAAATGAATACTTAAAACTTTTATTACAAGACGTGAAGGCCTTGCAGAATTTGTTTAACGAGAATCATGATGAATTATTCATGAACCTTTTTAAGGTTCTAACTTCCAGATACTTAAGAACTAGTCTGTTATTAATATATAAGAATAGGTATATACATATATTTTTTACATTTTATTTAATTGATTACATCATTAAAATATTATAAGTTAGAATAAATTTGTTCTAAACTCTTAGTAACAAGAGTTAACAACAATTAGGCTTTTGGGAAATTTAATCTTTTAAATTAAATTGTTAACAAAATTTCTATTTTGAAGAAAATATGTGTTATGATTTTTGGGACAATATCTGTACATAGACAATATGTATTTTATAAATGGTAATAATATATTTTTCATTACTTCACAATGTATCTTTGTGTAGTTTAATCAAATCATCCTTTCTATCTCAGTTACAGATTTCTAGTTCTTAACAAAGAACAATATTTTTCAATCTAAGTGACAAAGTGCACTTACATCGCCTTGTGTGATACTAAAACTTTGCTATTTGATAGTCTTTTACAAAAACAAAAAAAAAGGAAAGTCTTTTGTGCTTTGTAAATATAGACTGATATTTTATTTAAGACTAGTTTGTTAGCACAATGTAAGAAACAATAATATAATTATTTTTTCATTTATATTTCATACGAATATGGACCTCTATAATGAAAAAAGTATCTTTTACTAAAATATAGTACGACATGTTACTACTTACTGTAATCGTGAAATAAAATTTCACACAGCCAAGCTCAGTCTTGTGGCTAGTGCACCGACATATTCGGATCACTGACTTGGAAACATCTACTCGATTAGACGGACGCACATATGTAGTTTCATGGTGACAGCAACTTGCACTTTCTCCATACTTGTACAATATTTACAAATAAGGTAACAAAACACATAAATACTTTTATACATTAAATTCGAATATCAATGTCTTGAATAATTAAAGGTACATATATATGTACGTATATATTACGTACAATATGCAAACTTTTATTATTAAATAAATTTTAATATATTTATTATAAAATATTTTGAGCAACCTCGAATAAATCTAGCACAGTAAATTTACGGTGATCAAAAATAGAATTTTTCATTAACTGAAACGATTATCAAGCAAGAAAAAATAACACCTCTGAATTATGTTTCAGGTTTCCACTGCTTTGATTCTGGAATATACTTACTATTAGAATATCTAACAAATAAAAAATCTACAAAATACAATACTACTAAATGCATATTGAAATTTTTCGTGGGTATCATTACTCTATATTACATGATATTATTTTTTACGACATTGATAAAAACTCTGCTACTGATATTCATAAATTCAAAGAACACTTGAATTAGAAATGCAAAGAGAATATTCTTCATTTAGAGTCCGTAAGTGAGACAGATAACTCAGACATTAGAAACAAAGGATGAAATTGTCCAAGAGGAAAGGCGAAATGCTTTTAATGCTTTTGCTATGTTATAAATGTATATTCATGTGTCATTAAAATAAATTTCATGTCAGAAGATTATCTAAGTGCACATCATATGTATGGATATGGTTTTTTTATTACCTACTAGCTCCCCATTTTTATTAAAGTTTCAGAAAATTTTTTCATAAATAAAGCTTGTATTCTTACCTTACTTTTATATTAACTTTTAAACGCAGTTCCGATTAATACGTGAGTAAAAATCTGCTTTTGTCGAATATATGTACCTGTAATTTTACCATCAAGATTATAATGATTTAGGGAAATAAAAAAATAATTGGAGCAGTGACTTTCAAAAAGAAATGAAACTGAATTCAGATTACCATTAAGCAAACGTATCTTATATAATAGTTGCCACTGTATGTTCACAATTTAATTGTCTTTATTTATTTATATTTAAATTGAGTGTGATTTTTTTAGCATTATTCAGAATTGTTTTTTTTAAGGAAAAGATTTGAGTCAAATGGTTATTTTAATGATGAACGAAAAATAAAATATCTGTGATTATAGTACAAGTTTATTATAGCACAAGTTTTTTTATTATGATCAAAACTCATAACATATTCTTCTCATCCATATCAAAAAATTTAAAGTCTGGATAGTATATACATTACAGCTACATGCTAATTAAAATATTTGGTTACTGCTTTTTAGTTTTCTAATTATCTGAACGTGTAATAGTTAATAGTTCGAATTACTAAAACCAACTTAATATAGTCCGTAATTTTCATTTAACCTTTAAAAGAGAAATATTTTAAAAATCAATATAAGTCCATTGACGAGGTACACTTTATCCACACATTTTTTTATATAACTAATAACATTACCATTTCACAGATTTGCTAAAAAAAATACTTTTTTATAAATATAATAATAACTTTGACAAAAATGTATCTATTCTACTAGATATGTAATCGCCTAGTAGTACATATTATGAAAAAAGTAAAGATGTTTGTATAATCTTATTGATGGTAATAGAAGCTGTTATATTTCATTTCATTCCCTTTTTTTTGCTTGTTACAAGAATGTAGATTTGTACCAAATGTCAAATGTATCAGCGCTTTATTTGACATTTATTATTAAAAAAATCCGATTGATTTAGAACACGGAAAAAATAGTAAGCGTATAGTTTTTCAACAGAGATTCGATGGAGATATGATGATCACTTAACCTACTGGATTTTAATATAATAAAGTAAGAGAGCTTCCATTCAGTCCTATGTTTTTCTCATTGACGTTATTTTTAACAAATTCACTATCTTTTAAAAAATATTTTTATTTTTTATTACATTTATGAATTCTATCATCAGTCAAGAAGTTTTATTTGAAATTGAGTGTTAATCACTAAAGAATTTTCATGATATCCATTCCATTTTCAATATCTCGTATTTTAGAACCATAAATAAAGAGCTTTAAGTCAAAAATATGTAGGGAATTTATTAAGTAAATGGGATAATCTTTATAAAATGGTATTGTTCTACAAACAGCGTCTCAATTACTCATTTAAACATTGAGCACAGGAAACTCCGTCGTGTTTTAATAAGCCGAGGCGCTCGTAGTGTCAGTTATGGATGCCGTTATGCATACTTATAAAGTTCAGGTACGACAATATATAAATACTGATGTTGCAAAGTGCGATTCAAGAAAAGGAAGCAATTTACCTTACTCTGAATATAAACATAGATTTTTTTTACAAGAATCTTAAACATTAATTTCAGACGTCTCTTATTTTTCATTGTCTTGTCTTTCTTGTCTTTTCAGATATCTGATATTAACCCTAGAGTAGTCGCGCCTTCTCGTGAAACGCGAGTGATCGCGTAGGGAGCATTTTGCCGCCCGTACTTAATACGTTTTCTTTTTGTTAATATGAATCATATGCATTTGTAATTATGTTTTAAAGATAAAATAAAACACCAACTATAAGATCAAGAATCATTTATTAAACTTTTTTAATTAGAAATTAGAATACAATGCTTTGGAAAATCTTAGGTAATTATTTTAGTATTTTTGGAACTTCCATTATTATTTAAATAAAAAATATAAAAATAGAACTTAAGAGCTAAATCATTCGTTTTCCTCATTTACAGCATGTATTTCATCAAAACAATGCTGGCACATATATATGCAATGCTCATTGCACAGTAATTTTGCACATCTATTGCACCCTTTTTTTGTCCTTCTATTTTTCTTCGATGGACATACTGCGCATATTCCTTCTCGGACTGAGGGTATATTTTGATGTTCCGGTGGCACAAATCGAGCGATTTGGTTCCTCAGATCCTTCTGTAAAGTAATCACGCCGGATCGTCTAACGATATGTGGTCTAATCATAGCCATGGCAAAATCTTTGTGTTATTGTGCATTGACGTTGTATACGCCTCGAAGGTCTCTGGGACGTTCTGACTAGGGATGGACTTCGACTTACTTGCGTTACAGTAGAACTACGTGTGATAGATTGCGTATTTTGTATTACTGCGGCTCCAGCTCCACGATCACGCCGTAATGACTCCTGAGTAGGCACAGGTGATACGCGACAGGTTGATGGCTCATCCTTGTCCGATTGCTCCGTGTCAGTACAATGATCACTATGTTCACTTTCCCGGTCGCTTTCAGACACAGTTTCATCTTCCTCGCCATCGTTCTCCTCTTCCAACCACGCAAGTATTTGTTTGTCATTTCACACGATATTTATCTAAAAAAGAAATAAACTAAGCATAATAAAACAAAAACACAAGGCCCAATAATTAATTAAAACAAATTAAAATTAATATCATACCATATTACCATTAAAATAATACTATACGCAATGAAAACAAATAATATTTCAACATTAGTAAAAACTAAGATCCACAAACTTTACTTACGTGAGTAGTCGCGCGGTGAGCTATTTGCCGCCAAACGCGACACAGCCCCAACAACCTTTGTCTCCTGCGGTCATCCGAGCACTGATTTAATTCTTATTTCTAAAACAAGAAGGTGAGGGACCGGGGGCCAGCTACCCGGACGCTTGACCTTGACAATTGCATAGTGTACAAAATAAGACGAAAATTGTGCCGCGGGCGGCAAAATGCTCATAGCGCGAGCACTCTAGGGTTAAAAAAAGGTCAAAATATGTAAGATTAACTAACTAGAATTATAATAAATTTAAAATGGCCTCCCAATGCTGGCTGTTACAAACTTTAGACTTTGATAACCTCAAAAGGATAGTGGATGATCCTAATCAGAACTTCCGTTCAAATGTAGGCCTAAACACCAGGTTGTATCTTCAGTTCAAAGTGAAGGTGTCTCTAAAATTCCGTAACTCGGCTTAAGATGTAGTTGGGGAAGAAGATTGTAGGGATATTGTTGTCTGTAATTTCATCAGGGTATAAGAGTGAGTCGTCAGGACGTCTCTCGGCTAGCTTGGAATGCAGACCCAAGGAATAGTTAGTGACTTCTGTAAATAACGGATTTTATAGCGATTTCAATGCTTCTAAAAATCCTTATACATTACAATGTAGGAAAAATCATATTGTTGTAGTTATTATTGTAAAGTTATTCTGAATTTGAAGTTGATTAAAGATTCAGAGACATCCGTACTCAGAGCACATAGTTGTGTACGGCATTATTAAAACGTTGCAGGTCTTTAAACTGCTAACCTATTTCTAAATAATATGTTACTTTGTTTATAAAAAGGACTCAACTGTTATGAGTTATTTTACTTTTTTAGTTTTTTATATTTCGTCTGGTGTAGGTTTGTCTAGAATTTTTGCTGAAGAAGAACGCTTGAAATTAAACTAAGCTAACTATAAAATGACATTCAAATAACGAAACTATGTATTTGTCAGTGGCTACAAGCTTCAATTTCTTTCAAGATGCATGCATGCCAGAGGTTTGCTTTAAACTGACTAATGTCAATTTAACAAGAGAAACCTAAAGTAACTGGAGGACTGTGATCCCTGAAGGAGAAATAAATTTTGGGTCTTTAAAAAAGTGCTGTGGGGTTTGTATTAAATCAGCTTTTGGTTTTTGAGAATATTTATAATAAATGCGAGAAAAAACATTTTTCAACATAACAACACAAAAATACTGTAATATAATTGTAGTATTTTTTAATAACTTAGATTGAAAGTATACATGAATATCTCATATTTCCTTCGGAATACAAAGACACACATAGCATATACGAATTTGGATGACGAAACCATTTTTTGTTTTGTAATGCTTACTATGTACTGTTCATTTGTGGTATAATTTCTTGTTCTATACATTTTGATTTAATAGACAAATATTTGTTGTACATTTATATATGCACCTCAAAAGTAACTATTTAAAATTGTTTCATATGAGTACATATGTACATATTGACTCTAAAATGAATAATCCTTAATATAACGTACATACCTTCACCATAGTAAAATAAAAGTTCGTTAACCCGATAATTTTCTGGTAGAAAATCTTTTGTTTTCCCTACATTTTCATATATGCTTTGTTTTTTATTTTGTTATTTGCATGGCTTTTTGTAAGAAATATAAAAAATAATTGTAGTACACAAATTGCCATCGTAATCAATATTGTCGTAATTAAGTATGTTTCGTAAAAAGTTCACTTTTCTGCTTTAGCAATTACTAGGATTTGTTTTTCCTTTAGTTAAAAATAATAAAGGTATTTAATATCTTTTTGGACTCCATGAAAATTTCATTTTACTGCTCTCTAAGTTTTATTTATCTTAGTTACCTTACCTTACGTTTCTATTTTCGGTTGAATAAGAAAGAAAAGTCTTTCTTATCTCAGTAGATTTTATGAATGAAACGAAAACTTATAAACTGTTTAATTGGATATTAATATTTATAATACAACCTACTATTAATTATAATATTAATATTAAAAAGAATTGAAAAAATATCGTAAATAATATTAACCGAGATAAAATTAAATATAAAATTCAACAATATTTTGTTTTCTTGTTAGTTTACTATAATCATTTCTTATCAGTTTACCAGTTTATCAAAAAACACATTATATTAAACAATCTTTAAAACAACATGTTATTAATAAATTACTATTTACACAACTAAATATAAAATCAGCCTATAGAATAAAGTACTGATTATCACAAAGGTGAATATACAATACATGTATTTAATAAAGTTAGCAAAATTATTAGTGTAATTTCATAAAAAATTATTTAGTTTTAATTAGTCATTTTACGAAATATACATACACATCTGTATTATGTACACACTATATGTATTAGATAACAACGGAGGTTTAAAATGTATTTCTTGTTAGGAAGTGAACGTACGGCTTATACATAGAATAAATATTGACTAAAGGTCGGTTTTATTAGCTATGCAAATGTTGTACAGTTTTGTGTTAATTAAAATAAATAATACAGTACATAATACAAATGATATAAAGCAAACATGAAAATTGCTAATTATGTAATAAAATATTAATATTCGTTTTTAAATATTACCTCTTATAAAGAATAACATCATCTCAGTGATCATTTATTATATGTGCACTTGTAATACCTTAATTCAATTAAAACTATATATTTCACGTCTGGCTTGACATCGCAAAAACAGTTTATGGAAACACAAGATAAAGGTGTGTGACATATGAATGTGTACGTGAGATAAATGCAAAAACATACGAGATGTTTTATTTCAAGGTGTTGTAGTCGTCACAATCATAGAGATCTTTCTGCGATCTCTCCAGTTTGATAGAACGATGATTATTAAAAACTGATAATACTTTTTGTTTGATATAATTGAATGTATATAAAGCAATCGGGAAATAATTATCTCTTCGTGAATATAAAGAATTTTTTTTTGGCAAACCTATTTGCAGTGTATATATGTATGCCCCAATTTGATTTTTTAAAATAAAATTCTTACAAAAATCTATACCTATACAAACCGGAGAAATGTTGCTCAAGAAAAAAGTAGAAATACTAAAACCAACTTCAACTGTGGAATTCAAAATAATAACCAAAAGCGTAAAATACTAATTATTATCTGACTTGTCTATAAAAGTCAATCTCTTAATTAGTGTTTGTGATTATTGAGCGATGTAGTTGAAAATTCAGAAGTTCTTTATAGATTTTTTAAAGTGGTTTTAAAACATACTTTGTGACCATAATCCTTTGAGTATATTTTTAAGATTAATTGAAGACATTGTATGAGACCACAGTTATTATTATAATATTTGAGAATAGAAATTTAGGATAGTAATACTTATCATTTTTGTGATAAAAACCTATTTAAATATGTAAATAATTAACTAACATACGAAAATGGGGAGAGATACTTTTACATTCATGTGAAATTGCTGCATTTTTTTTATACTGTCTCAATGGTTGATAGATTGCAGGACCATTGTTGATATTTTAATATAAATATTTAATACGTTTCAGCATTTTGCCAGCTTCTTTGTTACAAGACCCTCGTCATTTTATTCAAAAAATAATAATTACGCCCATATTTGTATCATCTGAATAATAATCTCAAATATAATTTAAAACGTTATGTAGGAATACAATAACACAAAAGTCAAAAACACCAAAAGAACTTTTGGTCCGTCTTTTATGTATACAAGTTTTTGTCTTAATATTATAAATAAAAGGGATGAAATAGTTTCCAGTCCTGTTCTCATCATATATTTGCCACAGGTGTGGAGAAGAAGACGATACATTTTTATGTAACTTCTTGTAGAGGTTAAAAGATTCTGACATCATATAATTTATCTTCAGTTCATCGTACTTTCTCATTTATAATAAAGATAATTTTTATCAAGAATATATTCTAAAACACTGTCGTTAGAATTCATAATTGTGTTATTAACTTCTTACGTTTTTGTCCACGTTATTAGATTTCAACAAACCACTTATGAATCCCGTATTAGTTAATATAACATGTCTATATTTGAGTTATTTCCTAACATAGGATCTGAAGTTGGCAAATTAGGGCGTCCATTTTTTATGTTTATAACCATCGTAATATCAAATCTCTGGGAGATTTGAATATCAATAGTTCCAAAAATGATTCCGGTAAATTGTTGAATTAAAAAAAAATGATTGAGGTCTCAAACTACTTCTGATTGCAATATTTTAAGTTCCATCTCTGGACTAATTTTCAAAACATCCGACGGTAAACTTTTTCAGTTTTGATCCTTACGTGATAGTTTTTTGACAAAAAATATCTATGACCATGTTTATTTCAGGTTTAGGATCGAAATTGTTTGTTTAAAAAGAAAACTTTAGTTGGGAAGATTAGGTAATAAATTATTTGTACATATATGTTATGTTAGACAGATTATTTTGCAATATTTTTTTGTTATACCTGATGAAATTGAAATTAATTTTACAAAGCCAATAATTAGTAATTATTATTTCGTAAATTACTTGTGTAGTTATAAATTTCAAAACAAGCTATAAACTATAATTATTTTAGTTGAATTAAAAAATATATTATAAGCAACCTTCCTCTTTGATTTATTGAAAAACCCTCTAATTAATTATTGTTTAAAATATGTAAAGATCTGTAGTCTTGTATCGAATTCTATTGCTCGTGAACTCTTGTAACAGTCGGACATATGTAAATTCGGTAGCGTGAGTCATTTTGTAATGACATTGTTAGATTCTGTGAGGTATCAATCATCATTATGTATTAATATCACACTAAAAACCTATTACTTTAGAAATTTGTGAGAATTTTTAAATTGTTCGTTTGTAATTAGTATTTTTTTTTTGTTATTTATTGTTCTGAACGTAAAAATCCCTACTAATATTATAAATGCGAAAGTAACTCTGTCTGTCTGTCTGTCTGTCTGTCTGTCTGTCTGTCTGCTACGCTTTCACGCCTAAACCACTGAACTGATTTTAATGAAATTCGGTACAGAGATAGAGTTGACCTTGAGAAAGAACATAGTATTTTTTTTTTTTTGTTAGGTTTATTGATTAACCGAACTCCACGCGGCGAACGTAAAAATGTATAATAAATCGGAAAAAAATACCATGAATTATTTATAAAATTGCCACCTTCTATTTTTTTCCATTTTTAATTTATTGATTGAAACTTCCAACAAGAGGAGAACCAAACATTGAACAATTTTAATAATGGGTTGATGCTATTCTTACAAGAATAGCATTTCGAGCAGTTTCCTAGTTTATGAGATTATTCTGTTTTCTTTATATAATTGGATGATTTGAAACTAAACGTATATTTCAATGTAGCACAAACATTTTTATTTCATTACCTTGATAAGATACGGGTAATTTATTTAAATCCATTGGAAATGAAAATATACAAACATAATAAAACTTATGAATATTCGTTAAAGGAAAAATCCGTTAAAGGTTTTTTTTTGTTTTTATGCTATCTAACCAATATTTACAAAAAGATAAACACATTTCCCGGTTACGGTAGACAACAAATATATAT